CTGGAGCCCCTTCAGGCACTGGAAGCTGCTCTCAGGTCTCCCTGGAGCCTTCTCTTCTCCAGGCTGAACACCCCAACTCTCCTAGCCTGGCTCCAGAGTAGAGCTGCTCCAGCCTTGGATCATCTCTCTGGCTCCTCTGGACTCTCTCCAACAGCCCCATCTCCTTCCTGTGTTGGGTGCTCCAGACCTGGACCCAGCTCTCCAGGTGGGGTCTCACCAGAGCAGAGCAGAGGGGACCATCCCCTTCCTGTCCTGCTGGTCCTTCTCCTGGTGACACAGCCCAGGACAAAGGTGTCTCCTGGGCTCCAAGTGCAAGTTGCCACATTTACCCACCTTGGAGCCTTGTGCTTCCAGACCCAACTGTTCCTCCTGCTCCTGCACCACCTGCACTGAAGGCACCTTTGGTTTGGTTCCCTTCTGGTTTTTCCCCCTTAGAACCAAGGATCCAGCACAACCAAAACTGACCAAACACCACAACCACTGCTTGTCTTTGTGACCCTCCAAACACCTCCCAGGACATCACCCTCCCCCAGGCTGCCACTGCTTCAACACCTGAACCTCCAAGGATCTGGATTTCCACTCCAAACAAAACACCTGGAGCTCCAGGGTTGTCTCATCTCACACTCAGACTCCTCTAAGCAGCTCTGACCACAGCAGCAGGATGTTCTGGGCAGCTCTCAGATGATGAAGATACCAGAGTTCCCCTCCTCCACGTTCTTACATCAACCCTGGAATGATATTTTCCTAACAATTCACTCATGTTTCCTTTCAGCCCTGGCAGGAATGTTTTCAAGGCCAAAAATGGCTCTGAAAGCTTCATACAAAGCAGTTATTCTTCCATCTGCAGCCTGAGAGATGGGAAGGAGGGGTTGGCACCATCATTCCTGAAAGCAGGGAACAAAAGCCATGGGAAGGAGACAAGAGAGGAGGAAAATCCAGGTTGGGTGCCCAAATGGGGCAGTGTTTGGGGCCAAACCTTCCAGAAAGGTTATCACAAGCACCTCTGTCAGGCTGCAAAAGAGGAGAATTCTTCCTACATGGGCTGAAAGCTGCTCCAGAACTGAGTCAGCTGCTCCAGAAACTGAATTCAGCTGCTTCAGAAAA